GCGGAGGTGGTGAGTAAGGTGGTGGCGGCGGGGGTGGGGGCGGACGAGGTGGAAGTGGTGGTGAGAACGGAGGATAGGGGGGTAGCAGATCGGCTGGTGGAAGAGGTGGGAAGGGGTGTGGAAACGGGTAATGGGTTGGATAGGGTTGAATGGGACAATGTGGGCATGCAGTTGGTGGTCGCGGGTCAGGTTCAGGTAACAAGAGGGAAAGCTGATCAGGACGTGACTGCGCCAAGCAGCACACGACCAGAAGTACAATCAGCACAAGATGTTTCATTATTTCGAATAAATTGAAGAATCGTTTCCGTTGAATATATCTGGATGAATTGTTTTGACTGCATTCAATTCAATCATTGTTTTGACTTTCCACTTCACGAACATTAGTTTCTTGATTTCATAATGTTTCCGTTCAATCAGCCTTAAACCAAGGCGCCCATGATCAATGAGAAAATCGAATAAACTTCGGAATGAATTGTCTCTTATGCATTCAGGATAACATTAGTGAAGAACAAAAACTTTCTGGCAGAAATTTTTGGTTCCCATTTTCAAAAATCTTGGAAGCCTGAAGAAAATTGTTATTTTGGCTTAATCCTTGACCCATGAGCACGTTGCATTTTCAGACAACAATAAGCATCTAGGACTTATCCAGAGTTATAGTATCCGAGAACAGCTGTAATTTTATACTTCCATTGTTTTTAGAAGTGATACCATTCGATAGGTTATATGAACTATTTTGCCTTTCTGTGCCAGATGAGTCGAGAGTTCAGAATGATCGGAGCTGTTCGACTAGAGAGATGTTATTCCGTTAGCGTCAAGGAAAACGGTTCTGTGAAACATGTTTCTTACAGCTTCGAACCTGATTCGGAATTTGTTCCTAGATCAGAATTTCGGGAAATGGATGAGAGATTTTGTGTTTTAATGAAGGAAGTAGTCAAGGACCACCAACTTTCGGGGGCCCAGAATTTCGGTGATTCCTGAAAGTCAGCCCCGTTCGGTTTCAGTCGGTGTCACCGAAATTTGCTGCTGACTTGCCAACAACCGAACAACCTGCTTCTGTTTTTTTTTAATTGTGAAGAGGTCGCCTTTGTGGATACAATAGAAATGACACAATCATTTTGATGCTGAGAGGTGAAGAGCCGAGCCGCTCACACTGGATATAATCCTTTCCCAATCTTGCATTAGCCCTTGTTCATTACTGAAAGGAAAATGAAAACTTGGTTCGGTGACATTGCAATCTCGATTACGTTTTTAATAATAATGTACAACAACTTGAAAACCCAAGAATGTCACTTGCTGTCGGGTCGGATCACACATTCAATTCGTGTAATTTTTGGGTCTCTTTTGCACAGGTCATCTGCGGAAATAGCACTCTCTCGCTTTGGATCCTCAAATGCGATCTAACTAGCACGGCAATGAAATACATCAGCTGACACCACTACACCCACATCAACATTACAGATTACCGAAAATAGTACTATTTTCACTCCACGAGGAGAGTTTCTGAAATTCCATCCACACGAAAATGTGGCTGGTAAAGGTTCAAAATTGTCCGTGAATCCCCGCGAGAACCTCGTCCCCTCAGTTAGGGCGCAAACTGGCTGAGAAAAAAGAAATGCTAGGAGTGAACTGACGAGAGGGGGAGAGGTGATCGCAGGGAGTAATCCGTTTGGGGAGTACCCCAACCATAAAATCGGAAGTGAAACTGCCGATTCCTCATATACACCAGACACGTCTTTTGCAACAAAATTTTGCTCGAATGGCCATGCGAATATTAGTCCTTACAGACGTAATCCAGATCCGATGCACGCTTATTTGACGTATAATTAAGTGTGGAAAATAATGGGCAATCTGTCATGAGCTCTGAACCCGATGTGGATGACGGATGTTCAGTTTATATTCGCGATAGTTCAGCAGTTTGTTTTATGCATCAGTGGTAAGCAGATTGCAGTGCTGACGAACATTGAAGCGATTAAGAATGGTTTTTATTCACATCATAAATGTTGCCGCTATATCAGTTAGTACTCTATCAAACATTGGTGCTGCATCAAAAAATAGTCAACTTATGGACACGTAGTACAGCACAGGCATCTGTTGTTTACAATGAAACCAGCCGAAGCTTCCTGAAATCAGACAAACCATATACGCTCACAATGAACTGGATCCGAAAACGTCTTTCAGACATTTGGAACATTTTATTATCAAATAGAACCGCAGCTTTAGAACAAAATCACAGTTTGATTAATTCACCAATATTCAATTGTTCATCCGAAAAATTCTTTCCACAAGGTTCAAAATCGACTGCGTGTTAACTCATTCATCCTCTTCACGGTCTTCTAATTTAAATTCCCGAAGACACATCAAGCATCTTTATGCCATCCCTTCTCGTTCGTAATGCTCATACTTTTCCTTGAATTCTGATATGCAGAATGATGAAGGCAGTTTTTAACTCACCGGACGCTTTCCAATTGAAATTGCGTACGCTTTGCAGCATTCCGGACAGTCTGCTCGAGAAACGCGGTTGCATGCCACTGTTCTCGATTGGAATCCGTCTAGGAAAGTGAACACTGCTCGTGCGTTGCAATCTTTAAAATATTAGGTTAACTTCTTAACATTTTTGAATCTTCCACTGACTTCACAGTTGTATCAGTGACAAACAAAGACTATTAAACAACACATCCCAGTATGCAAGTAATCATAAAACTTACTCACGCAACCACGAGTTGGACTCACAATTGGCTGTGGCTGCACCACCGAGGGTAGTGGTCGTCGTTGTGCATATGCAATAGCCATCAAGCAGAACAAAGTAAAGAGAGACTTCATATTCCAACGAACTGACGATACCGTTCAGAAACGTGAATGTTTTGCTTGGTTCCGAAAGTGATACAGTCTGAAATTTTTTCAGTCTTCCTCATCACTACCGTAACTTCCATGAAGAGGATTAATCGAAACATAGCGCTTTCCGGTAATGTATGTTATTGATGACGTTTGACCGACGTTTGTTCGAAAAAAATCCAAAAATTTTAGATGGGAATTACGACATTCGGATTGCGACCGAACAGTTTTGAAGTTCGGTCGGAATTTCGAATGTCCAAATGCCGAAATGTTAATTCGACGGGATTCCGACAGAACTGAAATTTCGTTCTGATGCCACCTCTAATACGTGTCGGTTTAATGAGCACAATTGTACGATAAACCCAATTTGGTCGTGCTGACTTATGAGAAGGCGGTCAGCAGGACACGCCTGCGCTGTATTTGAGACGGGAGTGAACGATGACTGATGAACACTTTGTGTGCAGAAAATTTTTGTTGTCCATTATAAACAAACAGGACGGTAATGCAACAAAGAAAATGGATGAATGCAATTCCGATGAGATCTTACAGGCTAACGCAATACCTACCTGAAGTTGCGACGATCAGAAATGGTATTTTTGTTCCGCTTAAAATAGTCCACTAGTTGCGCAACTGACGGAAAAACGGCCAGAACTCATAGCTCAAAATGCCGCTAATCAGAGAACACAGCGGTTGTTTTCATTATAAAGTTAGTCATCAGCAAAAGTAGTTCAGTAATCACTACTTTGAAGTTATTCCGATGTCATGTAACTTCTCAGTTAAAGTCTCATAAATTAGAGTGATCAGACTGAATTCTAGTGGTGTACTTATGATAAGTATTTGAAGTGTGAGTGAATATTCAACGTCGTCTCGTTAGGTACGAGCAGGGTAAGTTCTAATTTAGCAGTTGTCAGTGCTGTTGCGTAAATATGTATTTTGAATATCTTGATCCTAGGGACAAACGGTACGCTCTTGTACACGAAAAGCAGTGAGGTGGCAGAAGATTGAAAGAAAGTAGCTTTCTAAAACGCCAACGAAAGGAAATAGTGCAAGTCATCACCACTTTAAGCCGCTAAGAAATTACGGCAGCGGAAGATATTGCTGCAAACATTCGCTCCATGATAAAAGTAGTGAGTTATCGCGTTACCGGAATAACGAATTGCACGCTACTGCTCACCATTGGTTTTTCTTAAATCCCAATGTTGTGCCCATTAATCAATATTTAATGTCAGCTGATTGACTAGGAGATACTGTTGTAACGATTCCATAAGCATTCCGAAGTCAATTGATCACGGTCAGTTGATCCTTCAGTCTTCATTATTTCAACGATTGGAGTACCATTATTTGATGAAAAAAGTGGTACCTCTGTACCTCTTTATCTTAGCAGTTGTTGAAGAGTTGACGTGAACACTGGGCTTACTCAAAAAATTTCTTAGCGGCATTTTTTAAATCTAATTCATTTCCAATCTCCAGTTCATGTTGTCGGAAACGGCAATAACGAAAAAGTGCGGACAATGTTTTGTAGAATAGCTGAAACTTGGATTCATACGATCTCTTCACAAAGAAACACAGCCGTTGTGTTTTTTTTTTCTCATTTTGGTTTTCTCATTTTGGCCATGAAACTGTCGAGATTTTCTGACCATTCCAGCAAGATTCACTCTGATAAAACAAATGGATGCTTGCCGTACTCTCAAAATCTCTGAGATACATTTCGTAGTAGGAAATCTGTTCAAGTTTCACTGGCGAACCAATCACAGAAAGGCATGATGGATTTGTATATTCATACAGCACCCCTAAGATGATTGCCAGGTCGGGAAAACATCAGCAATTGAAGAACGACCCTTTTTGCCAGACGTAGAGGAGGCCTTTCGTACACTTTTCCATCATCTTTCCCCAAGTGCAATTATCAGAGAGAATAATCGGTGAAAAAAACATTTTCACAGGGAGGACCACGTTGAGAATAAAAGTGGCTGGGAAGGACTGTGACCAAAAAGTCGGGAGGCAAACTAACTGGTTACAAACTCGGTGAGCAAACGTTTCGTGGAACGGCTCTCCACCGGAACCCCGTCCTCCGACAAACAATAGGTGTGAACTAGTGTTTGTCAGGAACCGAAGAATTTTTGCGGTGAGCAAAAAAATTTTGGCGAATACCCTGTCAGGGGCCACCGATTTTTGGTGGACACCGACAGGCCAATTTTGAGCATAAATCGGTTTTCAATCGGTGCTAATTGATGTTCAGTTTCTCGAGGCCGCTGACTGTACAGTCCCTTTCGGCTGTGGTCGAGAACCACCGATTTTCGAGGGCTCCTGAATTTCGGTGGTCCTTGAAAGTCGGCCTCGCTCGATTTCGGTCGGTGTCACCGGAATTTGTTGCTAGCTTGCCACCGACTGAGCAGTCTGTTTCTGTTATGCTCATTGGTCCCCAAAAATCGGTCTTTAGATAATAAGTTGTTTTAATATGAAAACTCTAGAAGGTCAGTTGTTGTGGGGTCGGATCACATATTCAACTCGGGTGATTTTTGGTGCTCTTTTGCACAGGTCATCTGCGGAAATAGAATGCGATCTAACTAGCACGGCAATGAAATACATCAGCTGACACCACTACACCCACATCAACATTACAGATTACCGAAAATAGTACTATTTTCACTCCA